TCAAAATCCTTTGCTAGCTTGGTTTGATTCTTTTCCCAGCAATCGACATCAAATAGTTAAAATTAACTCTTCATTGTCTAACGCTGTCCATGTTAGAAGTGGTGTAATACAAGGTAGTATCTTAGGTCCTTTGCTCTTTTTAGTGTTTATCAATGACATTTGTGAAAGTTTTGCGTGGGTAAGCCCCTTCTATATACAGATGATCTTAAAGTAGTATATTCATTTTCTCCACATGAGCTGAAAAATATGCAAAATTGCATCAGCATGGAGCTTAACGAGGTAGCACAGTGATGCTTAAAATGGCAACTGGGGCTTAATACGGCTAAATATGGATGGATATGTTTCGGCGATACATCACTCAACCTAGACCTTACCATAAATAGAGAAGTGTTATCTAGGTTACATACAGTAGTAGACTTAGGACTTAGATACTCCCAAAACTTGTCGTTTGCAGAACAGATATTGAAACAGACCTCTAAGTCTCAACGTCTAGTAGGTTACATAACTCGAAGCCTTTATAGCAATGAGTCACGTATTTTAATGTACAAAGTTTGTGTTCGACCTCTCCTAGAATGTTGCACGTTTATTCTTAGCAGTGCGCGCATAAAGGATAAATTAAGACTTGAATTAGTACCGAGACGATTTACACTTCGTATTCTTGGAGCTTATTGTACCTTGACTTATAATTCTAGATGTAATAAACTTGGGCTAGACCCTTTATGGAAGAGGAGACTCAAACTAAATCTTATCTTTTTCTTCAAACCACTTAAAAAACTATCCTTTACATTCAATCACGTGATTTAATATGCAGAAACTTCCCATTATGACATCCATAATTCCTTGGCACTAGTGAAACAAACTTATTCTAAATCATCTCTTTATATGAATTACTTTACCTGTAAATTTTCTAGACTCTGGAATAACCTACCACAATCTATCCGTACAATAAAATCACTCCCATTATTTGTTCGCTGCATCGATGCATACTGCTCCTCTGAAAATGCATTGAAAGTTTTAGAACCTGTAAGTGTATCTCATTCCACAAGTGATATAAGAGGAACCTTAAATGTTTAGCCACTTTTATTAGGGCATTCCCTAAGTAAAACCACCTACTAGCTGTCACTTTATGTTAACACCGTCCCCAGAAAGTTTAACTAATTTGAATAATATTAACAGTATATCACTGAGTCACATGACACACGCATTTTGGTAGACCTGATTGACATATTTTGGTAATTACTCCTTTGTTGTTCTGTGCTGTGTTCGTTTTAATTTCTCTAGTTGTAGGTAATTATCATAAATTCGACCTCGTACACAAAACGACCTTAATTACACCGTTCATAAATCAACAGGCTATCCATTTAAGAAATATTAAAAATTCCCGGCTGATGCATTGGATCGCTGTAATACATGTACTACCTAAACAATTACTGAACTAGTATACTTAAAACTTTCTTCTATCACATGTTTGTTCTGTACATCTAATGTTACTATTTATATTAAATTGATCATGCCTATAAACTGACTTGAATTCTGTAATTATTATTTTCAGAATATATAAATTATAAATTATTAATTTGTATGGTCTTTTTAAAGATCAACTGCAAAACGAACAAATACTTTTATCATTCCTGTTAAACTTACACCATAGATTGATTTGAATTGGTATAATGCTATAAAACAAAATGAGGTAGTTGTGTGAGTGAATAATGTGAGGTCAAGTTCATATTGAATATGATTGAATGGACTGAATTGCCAGAGAAAATGTTTTTGCAGGAGCTAAATTGGACTGTTATTTTAGTATTTAAGTGTCTTTGGAAAAATAAGATGAAGAATAAATCTTTACAACATAGAAAATCTAGTCTAAATGAGCTACACTAAGTGGTCTTTAGAATCTTTAAAGTTACATGGATATAAAAAAAATGAATTGCGAAAGGTATAAAATAGATAGTAACCGTTAATATTTTTTCGATTTGCATGATTCAACCAGATTTGAATTCAGATGCGAAAACCTGGCTGGTTAGCTGATGTACTGAATTGCAAACAACTGTGACGTACCTATACAACAGACGATACTTGGTGTTTGTACTAAAGTTTAAATTAATTTATAGGCCGGGTCGTGTAGTCCGCTCAATATACAACTGAACGGTCGACCAGGTGTTTGGGCATAAAACAAACAACTGCTCGATTTAACAAAACTTTAACCAAAAACTAAAATAATAACACAGAAATTCACTTTTTCATACTTCGCTATCATGCGTATGGTGAGAGCTTTGGTATTCTTCTAATTCTTTTAGCAAACTTTTTCTGTTACTTTCCACTTCACTTAATTGTTCATTTGCTACATTCAATTTTTCTTGAGTTGTTTTCAATTGCCCAAATAGACTGTTTACTTTCTGTGCACTTTCTTCAATTGTTATTTGTGTTCGTTTAAATTCTTTGGACATACGATTTACAATTGAATCAGAGCGGTTTAGCTGTAAAGAGGATGAATAAAACAAAATAAATTTAGAAAGCAGTGTTTATTTTCACAGTATATTTGTTTAAGTGAAAACTACGTATTACTGCTGAGTTATTAAATGTATAAGTAATATTCATTAAGCCAGTTGGATGTCGATAACCTGATTAATGGAACCTTAGTGTTCTCAATCAGGACAGTAGTTGTAGAAAATTAGTGATTAAATGGCACTAATAGAAAAATCATCCTAAGTAAATATCAACCAAAGAGATTTTAAAATCAAAGGCCCCTTGAAGCTACGTTGGCAATTTTCTGGAACACAGTAACTATATTCCTTTGAAAACTCAAAAGATTGGGCACTCATGATCGTGGTGACTGGGTTTGATTTTTTTTATTGAATCAGTTTTTTAGTAAAGCAAAGATCTAAGCGTTCACTCCAGGATTCACTGACATTGATAACTAACCCTTATGCAAAAGTGTGGGTTCAACAAATAGGTATTAGACTGATACTAAGGACGTTGCTTACGTCAGATCAGTGAAAACTGATGCAAATAAAAGTAAACAAGTTATCCGAATCAGCAGTTATAACGAACCCAAATACAGTTTTTGATTTTACTTGTTACTTATTATAAAAACATATAAATGGGGATACGAAAAAGTATGTTAGCACTCTAGTTGAGATACGGTGTAATAATCTAATAAGAATATCACTTAACCAACATACAAATAATCCAATTCCTAACCAACTTTGTAATACTACTTTACATATTGCTTTGATAGTGAACCACTAAGGTTGATATGAACCTTTATTGCTCTACTCTACAGTCCTTTCCAACAGTAAGCTCAGAGAACCGTTTAACTAGGATTTTAATCACCGATGACGCTCCAATCATCGTTACAATCAAACTATTGATTTCATTATTTATGGAAAACACTATTAAGTGATAAAAAATAGAATCTTTAAGGTAAAGTTAGTTCCACTGACGTTTCAGATTCACCTTGTAATGTGATAACAAAAATGGAACAAAGGAAGATAAAATTTGTTCAAATGTTCTTCCCTATCCAGTGTCTTAAAATACGCTACATATTGATGATATGAACAGTAAGGAATTCGGATGATGAAATCGATAAAAATGATTGACAATGTTCAATTAAATTATTTCACGTGAACAAAAGGACTAACTTGTGCTTGTTTTTCCTCTAGTTGTTTTTGCGCTAACTGTAATTGTTCTGTCAGAATGCTTAATCTTTCTTCTAACTGCGATTTAATCAATTTTGTTTCGTCCAATTCCTTGCCTACTTCATGTAGACGGGTTTGTATAGTTATATTTGATGTTTTGTAGGATTCCATCTGTGCTTCCAATTCTTGATACTGTAAGCGAAAAAAAGCTATATGAATATCTGGATTAAATAAATAATGCAGTGTAATTGAGTGATGGTCATTATTTTTACCTCACATCCAGAGAACAAGAATAACTGGGATATCATTTTACTTGTTTGTTTTTGACAGTGAAGATATGTTGATTTAAGGGATTACGTATGAATCTATTATTATTATACATCGTATCCATCACCCAAGTGTATTTCTACCGTAGACTAGTCAGATTATAAATAGTTCATCAGTAACCCCCCTAAATTTAGTGATCAATAATATAAAGTTGGGGCAGTAGTGAACACCGAGTTTGCTCGACATGGTTAGTAGGCCATTCTGATAAATTGGAAAAAATAATGGGCAGATTGTAGAATTTTCTGTGGCTTCGTCCTTGAATTAAAACCCCAAGTGTATTCCAATACTGTATGATGTCGTTTAGTTCAATTTCACGTCCCTAAACATGATCCACATGATTTAGCCAGCACTTGGTACCGGCTGTGCATGACATTAGTTACACCCCAGATATAAATTAGTCTTAATGTTAGTCGATGATAGACTTTATACAGAAGGAACCTAGGGGATATTTTTTTAAATATATACACTTCGTAAATAAGTTTACTATCCATTATATAGAACTTCTAATTCTTAAAAATTTCCACTTCCAGAAACTGACGTTGAAATAAAAATAAAGTACATACGATGAATATTACTTGTCATGGATTAGAAGCAAAACTTAGTTGTGAACAGCGGATAGCAATGAGGTTTGATTTTAGTAGAAATATGGAGATTTTAGTCCTGTGATATAAAAACACTGATAAGAAGTCAGTTAGTTGAAAATGATAGTTGAGAATGAATTTTTAACAGAAATAAGTTACTTTGTTACATTTCAAGATCTACTTAGGTCATATTTTAAGTATATCTAGAAGTAACTAACTGCGAAAATAAATGAGTAAAATAATTACTTATCTTACATTACTGATAGCTGTTTTACTGGCCATTTCTGCTGCAGTTTTATGTACATTTGCTTGCTCTAGTTCGAGCTTTAATTTTTGCAGTGATTTCTCCAATTGTTCTTCGTTGTGAGATCGTTTAACAATTTCTTCTCTTGATTTTATCAACATTGTGCGACTAGATGATAATTCACTTTGTAATATTTCTAGAGATTTACGGCTATGTATTACTTGTTCCTGTCGGTAGGAAACACTGAATTGGTTTACAAGTAAACAGAAACAGTCTCATCGATGAATAGTATGAAGTTATGTACGTGCAATTGATAGGTATTTAGTAAAATTTGAGATTTTGTTTAGATAGTGAAAATAATCAAAGCTGACGTTTGGTTGAATATCTGTCATCGAAACATCGAACTATACAGATGGATTTGTATAAAACAAGTATGAAATTCCACAGACAAGTCTTTTACATATATCACAAATTATTGCGAACTGAATGAGTTTCTTAAGGATTGTATCAGAAGTTAGGCTTGAAAATAGAAAATGACTTAATTTGGTAGGAAAGAACTAATGATCATTTTTCGAGGAGTAACCTACTTTTGAACAAAATAACATGAGGACAGATACACTAAGGACTTACACGAATAACATAATAGTAATCATCATCACCATTATTAATAATAGTAAATCTTTAACTATTTATGAACTTCATAAGTTCATTTATTTGAGTAGTATTAAATACTAGAACATATTTTGCAAATTAGTGGTTTTATACAACTCCACATATCTTTCACGTGTATGTGGAACGCCAGAAAAGCTTTTTGCTTGAATGTACAAAGTATTCCTATCTTATAAAAGCTAAAAAGTTTTATTTAAACTCCGGTCAGATTTCAGAATGCTGTTAGACTCTTTCACATACCCTAGCGTTTAAAGAACGAATTGAAATAATGTAGGTTTTCAAGTGTTCGGTTAGCTTACTATGATCCCTAGTTGAATTTTTTCATCACCTTGAAAATGACAGCACTAGACTGCATAGTATATTCAATGGCCTTCATAGACCACAGTTCTAATTAATGATTTAAGAAGTTCGTGTTAGACGTTGGTGATTCGCTCGTGTGATTTCCCAAAGGTATTGTCAAGTCGAACATACACGCTACTATAATAATTCTGTCTCTGACATCACGCCTAACCACAGATTTCAATTCTGTGAAAGGGTTAACAAAACATCAATAAAAAACTTAATTAAAGAAATCACCTTGGCTTGATTTAAATCCATTGACAAATTTTCAACTTCTCTTTGCTTCTGACTATCAATAATTTCTAATTGTTTTATTTTCTCTTCGAATGAATTTTGAATCATTTTCTGTTCTGATTTGAACAATCCAACTGAGTTGATTTGTGTTTCTAACTCCTGTAAAATAATAGTGATCAAGTTTGAAAACCAGAAATGGTTGAAAATAGTTATTCTCATTTGACCGAAGTAAAAGGTTATTTTAAATAAACGAATTAACCGAAATCACTCACTAATACAAATGCTTATACTTTGTAATAAAGTGATTACTAATTTTGAGTATTTGTTTGTCATGCCAATTCACAAGATAAGAAAGAAAAACGTTGAGATGATGTAGAAGATTTGTAGCTCAAGTGGATGATTTTGGTGTTTTGTTCTCTGAGCTGGATGGTTTGGTCGTTGGAGGTCTATATTTTACACGAGTGGAAGTTTGCCTTTTGGAGACCAAACTATCCATCTCAGAGAACAAAACTCCACTAAAAAGAAAAACGTTTTATCAAAATAAACTTTAAATTAACATACCCGATGACAAGATTCAAGTTCATGAGTAAGTGAGTGAATTTGTCTTTCTTTCTCTTCCACAATATTTGTTTTAACCTGTAAATTATTTCTACATTGAATAACCTCGTCCTTTTTGTCAGAAAATAAGTGTACGAAAAAAAGGGAATCAAATTAATTAATCAAATTCAATAGTACATTGAGAATAATGGTTTTCTAGATTCATTGTCTTAACGCATCTCAGGCATATAATGAATTTAATATTAAAATAACCACTTTACAATTAATAGAAACATTCATAGATTAAGGTAATCTATTTTAATTATTCAGAAAGTGGATTGTAAAATAATTCGACGAGGTAAGTAAGATAGTTATCGACAGTGATCAGTGGTGATCAGTGGTAATCACACTAGTTATTGGTAGTTTTAAATTGTATGTAAACGTACAATGACTTGATTTTTTATTTCAGATAATGATTTATCATAAAAATAGTCATTTTTCAAGCGCTCTTTCTCAAACAGAAAATCGTTTTCAAAATGACCACGTGTGTTATTATAAATAATCTCTAATTACGTCAATATAAACAATGTATAACTGACGCTTAAGCATTGGTTCATATCATAAGTTAGATAAAATTCAAATAATCGTCATAGGGTGTAACAAGCTAGTATATCCAATTAATCTGTCATGTAATGAAACCAGTTCTATAACATGTGGCAAATCAAAAACATGCAAACCCCATTTCTTTACCAGTTTTATATTAATTAATTACAAATGATAATTCACAACCACTCATACTTGTTCTTGGCGGTATTAATTTAGGGCTCAATTACGTGTAAATAGGTAATTTGCTATGTACGCCTTTCATACATTGTGTATTTCATTGTATCTGTGCTCGTTTATTCACTTAACTAATAAGTGCTTTAGACTATATAAAAATCAACTTAATAACTTATTCATTCGGTTATTTATCCATTTACTCATTAGATTACTCATCCACTCTTTCTCTTTGTTATTGGCTAAAGAGTTTGATTTTCCTACCTAAAAAGTAAATTAGTCCAATCAAATTCGTTTTTCATCTTCTGCGTTTATATGCCTCAGAGAATTGTTGAAGTGACAGAAGTTAAGTCGACGGGCTGTATGAATTTAATAGGAATAATTGTGCAGATCTCCAACTCAGTAGTTCGATCACAGATGACCTTAAAAAATAATACAGCTCACAAAGTATAATTTACGTCTGGAAACAATTTCCTGGTTATTTGTCAAATAAAATGACTCTTCTTAAATTATTCTCTGGACAGCCATCTATGTTATAGGACCCATATATTTATGTGCAGTCATGAAGAGCTCATTGGAAATACATCTTTTTTCTCCTAACTTTTAAAAATGTCTACATCTAGGAACCAACTAAATTCTACTGAAAAAGATGTGATTTACAAAGTGCAGAAGATCAACTTTACGTAGGTAAAAATAACTAAACACATACCTTCAGTTCATTAGTTTTAGTTTGTAATCGACTAATTTCCTTCTTATACTCAGTGTTTTCATTATTCAGTTGATTTAATTCTTTTTTTATTTGGTTGATTTCTAATTGATGTGAATTGTATGCTGTTTGTTTTTCTTCTTGCAAAGAGCGAATTTCAGCTGCACTTGTTTGAGCATTTGACAGACTTTGCTTAGTCATTTCCTGAATCCCAGATTCCAACTGCGCATTCACCGATTTAAGACGAGCTAACTCTGCTTCCAGTTGCATTGATCGACCTATTTGTAAATCTAGCTTTTCACGTATATTTGAAGTTTCTTTGAGCATTTTCATTATCTATTTCACATAAAGGAGAATAAATATGATTTTAAAAAGAATCCAATTCACATCAAGTCAAGTGTAGACTAAATTTTATGACCACTTTAAAAAAGATTTGTCCTATTTTCACAAGCTTAGATTAACTGAAGTAAATTTATACCATGGAATTTGAAGGGAACATTACTTAATAACATTATCGTATGCGACGGATGGACAATACGTACACATCTATCTCACTGTTGAGTTTATTTATGTGAACCATCCTTTCCCTGTTGAGGACCGATCACCCAACTATGATAAACACTCAGTGTCGTTCTGGTTTATAAAACCGATGAAGCAGTTATTAGACTCTACATCTAAACCAAAATATCCTACACGAAAAGCAGGAGAAAACATCAACGACAGAAAGTTTTGCAAAACATTCATTCCTTCAGCCATTTTCTTACAGTCCACCTAATGACATTATACCTCACTATTCATCGATGAGCTTCTTTAACTTATTCTATTCTCAGTTCAATTAGAATGATGCGACATTTTCAACTATTTTTACCACTAAGTCTGCTTTTCTTTTCTCTTTAAATTACACTGTTCATACTTTACTAACAATATTAGTTAAGAAGGTTTGTACACTATGTAGATGGTACTGATTGCTGTCAGGTTGCTACAACAAGCATCTGATTAGATAAGTTTCACTTCCAATTTATATGCGTTCATTCAGTCAGTTCTATCACGCCTCTATCCAGTTACTGTTCTTGTGGCATGTATCACATTTTACCTTGACAGACTCAACTATTCACTAGTGACTTATCGTCATATATTATGCAGTAGTGTATTGTTTTACAACTTAGTTAATAAATTGTGCATGTTACTCCTCGTGGAGGAGCATGGGCCGCCGACCGAGATTCTCTGTCCTGGGATCTCTCTTTCAGGTGTTTCCAATCAATATCCATTCTTTTGATGTCTGCCTCGATTCCCAATGCAATGTGTTCTTCGGTCTTCCTCTTTTCTGTTTCCCTTCAGGATTTCAAACTAAGGCTTGCCTTGTGACACAATCTGATGACTTCCGCAATGCATTTCTTACCTACAGCGATCATTCCGAATTACATCTTCACCTAGAAGTTAGGTCGTTCTCCACCAAAGTAAATTTTTGCTGATGGTATCCGGTCAACGAACATTACGTATCTTGCGCAGACAATAGTTTAAAAATACCGGTACCTCTCGATGACGGTTGTGCTAGTTCTACAAGTTTCAGCTCCGTATAGTATAACTGTGGTGATATTCGTATTGAAGATTGTGATTTTGATATTGGTTGACAATTGTTTCGAGTTCCATATGTTATTCAAGTGTAGGAATGCTGTCCTCGCTTTGAGAATTCTTGCATTTACATCTGCATCAGATCCTCCTTGTACATCGATGATGCTGTCCAGTTACGTGAAGGTTTCCACCTCTTCCAGAGTTTCTCCATCACGTGAGATCGTGTTGGTGTTCCTCGTGTTGTATTTGAGGATCTCGGTTTTCCCCTTATGTGTGTGTGTTGAGGCCTACTGATACAAAGGTGCCCGCTACATTGGTTGTCTTGACCTGCATTTCTTGTTGTGTATGTGATAGAAGGGCCAGGTCATCTACAAAGTCCATATCGTCTAGTTACATCCAATCTGTCCATTGTATTCCGTGTCGCTCCTGAGAAGTAGAGGTCTTCAAAATGCAATCAATCACCAGAAGAAAGGGAATGGGTGGGAGGAAACAGCCTCGTCTGACATCGGTCTTCACTGGGAGTGCATCTGTCGGCCGTCCACCATGCACGCGACTTTGCAGTGCAGTCCGTCGTATGAATTTCGGACGATGTCGGCAATGTTCACAGGTACACCATGGTTTCGAAGAAGGTTCCATATGGTCCTCCTATCCACACTGTCAAACTCCTTCTCATAGTCAAGGAAGCTGATGTGTGGTGAGTGACTATTTCCTTTCAATTGATTGTTAACAATGCTCCGTGTGTCGCGATTTGGTCTGTGCACGACCGATCCTTACGGAATCTGACCTGTTGATCTTTCTGAATAGAACGTGGAGAACGTGTGCGGCTACCTGTATGTCTGACTGCAATGCTTCATCTGGTATGTTATCTGGTTTTGATGCCTTCCCAGTCTTGATTTGTCTGATGGCCATTTTGATTTCTTCGATTGTGTGTGTGGGGTGACATCTGTCTGGAGGATTGTGTATGTTTCTTGGATGTGTGGAGGATTGATTTAGTCTATTCTATTCAAGAGTTCTCGAAACTGGATCCTCTGAATTTTTCATTAAATCAAAGATGATTTACTTGATTGTCTATATTGTGGTCGGGTGATAGTTCTTGTTTGTGTATACATTTGTAAGGGAAATGATGCACTTTATATCCATTTTATTGAAAGCGCACAGATTTACAAGTCTCTCGCTATTCTCGTCCCGTTTTCACAGTCCATGCCGCTCTATGATATCTTCATTCCCGGTATTGTCTATTCAAACTTTGGCTTTTAGATGTCCCAACAGGATGGTCATGTTCTTCGCTGAGTTCTTTTCTACAGTTGACTGCGACCTCCCATAAAACTGATCTTTATTGCCTTCATTGGTATCATTGTTTGACATAGAGCCTTGGATAATATTCATTGTAATCCCCTCCTTCTTTGTTTCGAAGATTGCTTTGATGATCCATAAGATTCCTATTCCACAAGTGCGCTTCATGTTTCTTTGGACAGCATCCTTGCGTGTGAAAAGCACTTTTTTCTTCATGAACTGAGTACAACAGCACGTCTCCCAAAGCTAACATTTTTGGTCCATCTTGTGTCCAATAGGTTCCACTTATTCCAAACAGAGCCATGTTGTACCTCTCTATTTCCACCGCTTTTCAAACAACTTTTCCGACTTTTCATATTGTTCAGATATTCCATGTTTTCATCGTGAGACGTCATAACTCTTCTAATTGAAGATCTTTAAACTCTCAGGGCAGAGTTTAAATGGTTTAAGTGATTTTTTCTGGTGAGCGTTTCTTAGCAAGTTTATTTTTAATGGGATGAGGTTGCTTACTTTATGCCCAACTCTCCTCATTTATCCGGGCTTCGGACCAACAGTAAATATAGAAGAGCTGAGGTGGGAGTTTGTTTTCCGACTGATGTACTTAAATCATTTCTTACAAGTCTTAAATTCTTAAATTCGATTAATTTACTTGACTATATATCTCAAACATATTTCTCAGGGGAACTTAGACTGTAGTGGACAAATATGCAAAATCTGATATACTACCTTGTCCAAGTAAGCTTTATTAAAGAAAACGTCTGACTAAAATAATTTCAATCAACAAATACTTTTGGTCAAATCCACACAACAAATATGGTGGTGGTTCTATATATTTTGTCTTTCCAATAGGTATGTTACATATTTGAGCTTACTGCACGGTACTAAAACCTCCATGTCAAGAAAAAATATCGCTCCAGTAGTTTCAAATTTCATAGTACTTCTTCAGTTATCATCGTTATTTTGAACTAATCTCTAAACTGACTGGTTTCCAAGTCATCAAACCCACTTATCCATATTAAATATTATTGAATGACATTGTTAATTTTACCAGGAAGATGCTACATCGTATTTAACCTAAATTTATTCCAAACTACAATCATTCTTAAATGTAAAAATTAAGTACCTGTCTTTTCCGTTCTTCACTGATGTTTTCGATATTCTCACGTTCTGATTTCAATTTTGCCAATAATTCATCACGTTCCTTCACCTAAAGTTTTTTCAAATGAAAATTCGAAAATGTTAATGGCTTTATACTATTTTTTGGCAAGAATTGTTCAACTTAGGCAGGGATAATACTTAATTTTATGATAAACGCCTGTCTTAGAATCAAACTGAATATAATAATTCATAGTTATTATTCTTTTGACATCTGTACATAAAAAAAAAACGAACACTGTTGTTAAAGCAAGAAGGGGTTAGAATAATACAAATTTCTATTTCGACCAAATCTTATTCGTTTTAGACATCTACAAAATACCGTGGAAAAACGAAGTTTCACTAGGTAGTAAAGTGTTGACTTATCGAAATATTACCTAACCAAAAGTATGATGTACAAAAAGGGAAATAAAGACAGAAGTAGGAAAGAAGACTGTTGTGACATACTATCTCCGAGATTCGATACTGAAACACAATCTTCTTATGCACGAGCCCAACCGGTTACTCAAGTTAAAAGACAGAGTGAAAAGGAAAGTTTATTGGCCAAGCCGATAATTCAGTCACCAATATCTTATCCTTTAGGAACGAAGTCAACTTTCTGGCAAATCATGTACACTTATCGTTCGGTTGATTTTCGATTGCCCCAGTATTTCAGGAACAATGACAGAAATTAAGTAAATTGAAAAGCAAAAAATTAAATCTTAGTAGTGTGCTTAAATAACAACCTAGAAATCAAAGGACGCTAAACGCCGTTATGTTTCTGTTCTGAAGACGATTTACGTATCCTTTTACATGTAATTTATCTGTTAGAGTTACTGTATACTAATACTTTAGCTGTATGTAGATGAATTTATCTCTGAAATTTGTGGTAACCGATCTAACCCTGAACAGATATTTATGCTCCCTTATAAATAGCAGTACCTAAAGTAATAAAGCCATTTCGACTATTTTAGAGGCTTATCAGAAGTAACTCAGCTTTCTTTTCGTCAACGCGTCGTCCTCACTTTCCGCTTGATCAACTATTCGGTATTGGTGTACCATGGAATTAAGCTAAAATGTGGTTCTGTTTTGGATCGTTTTGAATCCGTATAATATTAATGATCTCCGGACGTGGTCACCAGTACTCAAAGTCCGTTCCTCAATGTAGTATAAAGATCGAAAGTATAGAAGCAAACACTTTGATCAAGGGACACAACAAAGTTATATAAGAAGTTCTGATAAGCAAATACAAGTGCAGAAAGCAGCTAGCGTCCACTATATGCATTTCTAGATAAATTACACGGCAGTACTTTATTAGTTATAATAAAAGCTAGAGCTGCTGCAAATGCTTAAATCGTGAAAACATTAATATCGCACTTTACATCTCGTAAATATAAAATTTTATTTTACTCCGTTCAATTTTTCTAACGTACAGATCTTAAACCGTTGTCAATCTGTGGGGAATGCTCCTATGGGTTGGTCACTAACTTACACTGCTATTTTTGACCTATATCCAAGGGTGTTGTAAACATATATAAATGTAATAACTGTTTGTTTAGTTAAATTTTCTTTTGGTTTTTGCGACACATTCTTTGAGCAACGTCTGTTTTAGTACATTTTTGTTGGCTCGGTGGTGATACAAAGATATGAATGCTAACGAAATGCATTTCCTTTCTACTTCGTATACATTCTGTCGAATGGCCACAATTATAAAACAGAGATATAATAAAATTAGAATACATATTGTATCATATATGTTTATATTGGATGGCAGATGTTAGGATGTGCAGAAAAATATACCAATAATTATCATATTAAGTCTAATGGTGGCCTTGGACTTTAAATGTACACTCCCCATTGGTCGATAATTATTTCACTTGTTAAATATTGTACAAATGTTGTTTTCTATTTTATGGTACGATGTGGTTTGTTTGTTTGGTATATAAACAGAGTATGTCTGAAATATAATGATTCATATCTCAGAGGCTGTGACTTGTGTTCTGGACTCAACTGGCTGGGCTAGACAGCGAAGCAGGGCCAGTCGGGACTCTGTGTCGTTCGTACGTGTTTTACGTGTCACGGTAATCGATCGATAATATACGCTTCACTCTAATCTGCACTCAACCTGTTACAACAGCAGACATGCATCTAAAAGATGCAGTGATTGTATAAAGTATTGAAGTGCGGTAATACACTAATAAAGCAAGCCAATTTGCACAGGCAAATATTGTGTATGATAGAACAGATGGAAAAATTAGAATAATCTGTCTAATTAAAAGTTAGAATAAGTCCCTTAGGCGTGTAAAATTACACGATTCGCTGCCCTGTTTTCGGATTAGATAACGCTAAAGAGGGAAAATGTATTTATCTGTTGTGTTCCATGTATGGTCAAGATGTTTCACTGAGAGAAAAAATGTTAGTCATAAGTGACGTCCGCATAAAGTAATTTCCAAAAAAACGCGACCTGCAAGTACCGAGTAGCTATCAATTACTTCTTGACTTTAAATGAATGTTTAGTTTAGGTAAGTTCGTTATATCAATAATCTTCATAAACCTTAATGCTGATGACGATATATTTTATCAATTTTAGTTTAGCAACACCATACAAACTAATCTGCAGCAGAAGTGTTTGATGACCGTCTGAATACGAACTATAAGATGAGGAGATACGAAAACTAAAAACTTTAACTTACCATCATTGTCAAGTTATTTGCATTATTCTCATACTTTTTGTGTAGATCATGACAGCGTTCTTCTAGTTCTTTAGTTTGGTTTTGAAATGAATCGCGCTAAATGAAAAAATAGAAATTTCAACTGCTGACATTTATAGTTGGTTTATATATTGATGATTTTCGTGAGATTCAATGTATATTTAGTAACAATCCTCTTCTGTCGTCTTAATTTACCGATTCCGTCACAATGTTGAATGATCACCAAAGGTAAATATAGACTTACGCTCTTAAATCAATCACTGCTTGATGATCAGTGCTATACGAATTACTGAGTGCTTACTGTAAAGTAATTGATTTTACTTTGAATTATTTGTCATTAAAGTCGATAAGTTATCTTGATGTTTGACAGGGGTGCATAAACTGTTGATGGTTGCCAATACACTTAATGATGACATTCAGCAGGTTTGAAATCTGTCAAAATATTCAAACGGCTCAACCAAAAGTAATTGAAACTAAGTCTGAAACAAAGATGGTACATGGTAGCTAAGTGGATAACGCGATAGCATTTGGAGCGAATAGCACTGGTTTCGAGTCCCAGAGTGAAAATTAACTCCAAGGTGCAGGCACACCCGACTGACGAGTCCCAAATGGGACGAAATACGCGCCCTAGATCCCACTGCTAACCACTATCCATCTTTGCTTATAGGCTTACAGTGTTGTTGCAAAATTATACTCAATGAAAAAGATGAAAATCAAATAAAGCAGACATTTATCATCTTTGTTTGCTCTTATGATGAAATCCAAAATTCTTCTTGAAGCATGGACTTTCAAGATTGATCATCTATTAATTCTTTGCTACTTTTTTTAGTATTTTTCACGATTATTTTCATCGATGATAAAAGTCAGTTCTAAGATGAGGAATTATGATCATTCAATCAATTTTCTATTTAAAAGACAAAATACATATGTCGGACAACTATATAAAGTTCTCTGGGATATTATGCTTAATTATAAGTGATCTATTACCAAACATACAGATCTCATTAACATCAATTTCATGATCACCCGCAAGCTTCTCTACTGCCATGACGTATCATCATTTCATCACAAAATGGAAACAAAATGTTGGGTTGGTAAATTAGATCTAACTGTAAATAGGAAAATCAACTTTAAATCATTTACTGAATCCTGAATGCTCACCTGTGAAATTACTTCCTCATGTTTATTTTTCAATTTATTCACTTCCAAGCTTAATTTATGCAACAAATTTTCTCGTTCTCCAACCTGTGTAGAAAAGAAAATCAAGTCAACATAAAAATTAGATAACTCATAAGGTTTTTGATCTTTTTAATGAAGTTTGCCTACTATGGGTAAAGTTAGACGAAAAAAATGTTATTTCCAGAAGAATATCTATGTAGAAATTATATAAAGCCTTTGCAAACATTTCTTGAGGTTTCCAATTTTGATAACAGTTCTTCATAAGTTCTGCTTCAACCAATTATGCTCAAGAAGTGATTCTTTGAGAAATCGATGCGTTTGCTTTCGTATTCCTACTAATAATAACAACTACAAAGCTTTTAGATGACTGAGCCAAATCTCTCACAATTTTCTATTCTAGAGTTCCAGCTAAGGGTCAAATATTTGTTAAACCATTACACAAACTATTTTTTATGGGGTTTTCAAAAGAGAATTTCTACTTTTTCTCATAAAGTGGGAAGATTAGTAATCGAAATCAGTCAGATGAGAATTATTTTAGCCCTTAAACAATAACTCATATCCCAGACAGCCTAATTGCTAAACGTGAGCCTACTACCTTCAGAACATTTGAAGTTGATATATCAGGTCCTTCTGTTTTCTCTCTTCTAGGCTTAGCTTTGGTCTTGTCAACTCCCTTTATTGAGAGGGAGAGATCGATTTACCATTCATTTTTTCGGGATTGATGAGTAGTTGAATGATCGGTTGAAACCAGTGTTATCCATCATCCAACTTTTCCTTTTTCACTATCCATCATAGTTCACGGACATTAGGTAGCCTTTCTAACAGTCTATAGGGTTACCTTGACTTTGTTTCTTATCATGTTTGAATCTACCAAGGACTATTTTCCAGAAAACTATTACCTAATCAGAAACTTTTGATATCGTTACTAAAATGGGTCACTTCAGAATTAGCATCACAAAGGTCATAGCTAGTTCTTCCCCAAATATATGCCTGATATTGTCATTTTCAAAATGAGATCTTGGAGGTGTTACTGGTGTAATATTTATTTTCAGAAAAGTGAAGGCGAATAGTTGGATTATGGTTTAATCGGAGTCTGGATATGCTCTGGAGAGAGAGCGACAGTTTTCTGTTATTTTACCCTAGAGATTGGTAATATTGATAAAATTTGGCTGAATACAGTGTTGAGTGGATTTCGGAGTTTTCCAGGTTAGACAATATCTCATTATACTTATGGTTGATGCTCAATAGCAATAAACGACTTTTGAATCAAAATTCAGTAGACGGTTACCATTATCTATTCGCCTGTCTGGGAAGCGGAAACACTCGTCCAAGTGTCCTTACAAGTGACTTGGCTTAATTACTTGGTAGACAAAACCACCTATGACTGATGAGTCGGATCTCCTAAGATTTTCAAGTACTATAGAAACTTCCCTTCAAAACTTTTCTCGGTATAGATCAGCGATTGAAATCTAAGACAAACAAATTAAATAGTATACTTCAATTTTACATCGCTAATGGAATTTTCTAGGTTTCTTGTAGGATATTAAAACTCAGAAGACATTAGACAATGCTTTTTACTCATATGACTCCAAACAAGGCTTTCTTGATATTCCTTACATGACCATAAATATTTTTAAACCAACTTTACATCTCTACGTCGTTCGTATGAACTTATTATGGCTATGACTGTTGACTAAAACTCACGTGATAAAACTACCAAATAGAATCCCGATTTACATAATTTGGTATCACCGGCTCGATCAATTGCACATCTAACCAACACTAGTAACCTTGGTTTAGCTGCTGAGTCCTTATCGGTCCACGGATCTGTTTCTTCTCTCTTTACCCTATCTTTTTTCCAGAAATCGGGAACCAGCCTCCACTGTATTGAATATTCCTTCTAAAGGGCTCGGTTAATAAGGGTCCACATTATTAAGGACGTACATTATTAGGGGTGATCATCAGAAAGATGCATATTGAAAAAAGTGAGCGTTGAAAAGGGAATAAAATTTTTAATGATGTGAAATATGTTCGGTTTCCTCTATGTTGTAAAGACCTACCTAAAACGAACAATGTTGTGGACGGGTGGGATAGAATCTTTAGCCAACTTGTTGCTACCGCTCATCCAAATATATAGAAATTTATTAATGTTCTCGGAAAGAGAGTCTAAATGACTTGAAAATCGAATAGCTTGTTGCAAAAGTCCAGTAACAGCACTTAAAAAGAAAGTATGAGGAGGTGGCATTATGTATCAAACTGGTCGTAGAAGATTACCAAAACAGATCAACACTAGACTGTCTACGGGGAAAAGCATATTATTTGAATGTGCACATTTGAACATGTCAAAATACGTTACGAAAACCTTATAATGTACCTTTAACATCTACATTAAATTGGTGTTACCCTCTTTTGATGTATTATATTCGGTCAGTTAATATATTGCCCGGATTAATAATAAATATATTTTTTGTTATATCCCATTAAGTAGAAAAATTATATTTCTGACATTTCATGAAGTGGAGTACATTAAGTCACGAAACGTCAGACATACAATTTTTCTACTCACTGGGATATAACAAAAATATATTTATTATTAACACTCTACCCAGTGCTAAATTCATTTGAAATTACCGGGATTATTTTGTTGTAGCAATAAATAGCCCTTTCAAGCTGAGGAGTTATCAATGTCTCAGGGAGTCGGGGTTTAGATTTTAAATGTCTTTGTAGCTTGCTTACGCTTAATACTCCTCTTAGTCTGTCAAAAGGTATGAAGTAGTACACATCATCAGGGATAAAATTATATTGTGTAGCGACTGAAAAGTAAAAGAAAGTAACAAGACAAAATCAAATGTGTGAAAGATAATTATCCGCCTAGGGAGTATGAGAAAAATGAAAAATAAACTAGAAACATGAAGATGATAATAACGGACAACTAAAGCGTAAAAAACATTTAGATAAAGTATCAATAAACCGACTGACCGTGTGGAAAACTAAGTTTTAGTCACGAAATGATAACATACTAACTAGACACTTTTGCCCATATAGCTTAGGTTTTAAATGGTGAATTGCTTCCGCCTTTGCAGCAAAATTCAACAAACATTCTTCAAGGATTTTCGAAACATCCCTCTAAATAGGTTATCCCAAAGCTATTCGAAATAGACATACGAGATAACGTGACTAGGGTAATAAGAATAACAATCTGTTACCGAATTCAAAGAATTACAGTATTTGTTGGAAGCAGACAAGTCATTAGACGTTTAGAAAACTACTTTTTGCTTGGTCATAGGGAAGAGGGACAGAGGGGGAACCGAACATATTTCTCATAGTCAAACATTTTATTCCCCTTTCAGCGCTCACCTTCCTTACCAATGTGAGACATTTTAACCGCGCCCTTTTCCACTTTCTATTTTGCTCGTGTAATCCCTATGTTGTATTTCAATTAGACGTAGTTTACATACAGATAGGCCAGGCAACATTGCGCCATCAAATGAAAAGTAATAATTATACATGATCAAGCCCAAAAGCAGTTGTAATTAGTGGAAACCGTGAATAATAAACGGGGAATGCATTAGGAATAGTAAATAATACAACAGTATTTAGTGGGTTAATCGAAAGGTTATGGTAAAAGAAATATTTGCATAATAATCTTATTAATTGATAACTATACGACAAAATTATGGTTGTTACTAATTTGAAAAACGACTTTTAAAATATCCGTTCCGTTATAGCGGAACCCCAGTAGTCGTGTTAACAAAGTGACGTTTATGCAGTAAAAATGTACGGTAGTAACTGTAATTGCAAAGGTACTTGTATGCTCCCCAGTTGTTAGTGTTTATTGTGATTCATAGTATATATTTTTCAGTTATTAACAGAGAACTTCAAGCTGAGTGATAAAAAACCTTTTCGAAATACTCGCTCTTCAGATCTCTATCTTATATTCCAAAGATCTCCTGAAGTTAGATGAGGTAACTACTGACCCAGTTTTTTACTTTCTCCCCTCAACTGCATTTTCTTTTCCATGCTACGGTCTCATCAATTTCTACTATCTTTTCACCATCCTCAAAGAACAACAGTACTAGTAGTAATCTCTCAGTGCAAACCTCTCGACAATATCCATACCACTGTATAGCATACGTTTCAATTAGTCAACACTACTACCGTTGTGACTTGAGTGTCTATTATCTAATGAACATTAGTAACATTGTTTAAGGGTTAACTTAGAATGAACATAAATGTACCGCACCTAATAGATTTCTTACAATTAAATATAAATACCTCTAGATTTCCATCGCGTTCATACAAAGTAACGTAATTACTTTAATTAAAAGAGATTGTCTTTTAGATAACACCACGCCTTTTAAATAACTTCAAATGTTTCCCTCTGTGAGATTATTTAGAATGTTATTGACAGGCACTATTCTTTTTTTATGTGTGACACATGACCTTGATCATTCTTATCCTTGTTCTGCTATTGAACTAAATATTATGTTTACACCAGAGAAGTCATGAGAAGTTGAGGTTAGGTATCCGGAAACAAAAGAACTCAGTCACCTCGATTCTCCAAATGGACTCTGGGTAATCAAGCGAATCAACAAACATTAATCCTGTATGGGGGTATCGAAGACACAGAATCTTGCATAATGAAGTGTGTGATGTTATTTGACGTACGTCCCACATATTGAAAGGCCCAATTTATAGTTTGAAGGCAGAAAGTAAAATTTCATGGGCATGAATCTCTAACATGGGTTGCGTATACTCAGTGAGAAAAGGGCGAGAATAGATATGTTGAGAGCTTGAGTAAGAAATATATTAGGAAGTAAAGAATAAATCCAACTATGAAGATTATGAACTCAGGTTTTATCGGAGATTTATGGGTAGTAGTCATCTGTTGATTATCTACACTATGCATGTTTCCTCTTGAGTAGTATAAAAAGGAAACTGGATTAAGAGTAATTTTTTAACATGGGGATGTAACCACTGACACTAAGTGACGGGTTCTTGAAGCCATATATGAAAGGCATTTTTGATAGTAATATTGGGTGTATTGGCTTCTTGCTTACTAAACCTAACCACCTAGGCTGCAAAATTAGTGGGTCATTATAAGGTGTTTGATTTTTATAGCTGAACTTTTCTAATCCCTCCTTTCTCTGTAGGAAAGCAGCATTGCTCATGGTGCTATTTATGTGGTTAGTTTTTTTCAGGTAAATGAAGTACCAATTCATAGTAATGATGCTAATTTCAGTCTGATTTTGCTAACAAGGTTAAAATATTTGTGTTTGAATCACTTTTCTAAAAATTAACATCATAAGTTAAGAAGACTTCAGGTAAAATACTTGACTGATAATCAGACTTACTTCGCAGTTCGAGTAACTCATTGTCAAAAGTTTTAAATTTCCTTTAGGAAAATTGTTTTAAATAAAAATCATGAGCATTAATTTCTAAATAGATGAACTCTAGAGATCATACTTTCGTTTAACAGATGATTTGGAATCTTATTCATCTATATATTTCGAAAGATTAGGTTCATCAACTGAATCGACATTTTTGCTAAGCTACTTATTATTTTAATAGTAATTTGATGTAATCCGAGATGAATATATCTGTTTGATGATCTACTGGTAAGATAAGACGAAAAAATATTATCATCAAATAGACTTCGACTACGGAGCTCTATAAATCAGTTTCTTCAAAAACAAATTAACATGGTAGGAAAATATTAAATGGAGCAACATAAAATAAATACAGATTTCACACCTGTTGGAACAAGTTTGTAACGCTTTCTTGTAATTGTCTCGTTGTATTGTAACTTTCTTCCAATAATTGTTCTTTAGTTTTCTCTCTCTCTTGACAATATTGCAGTTGGTGTTTCATATCTAACAATTGATTCTGTAAATACTCAATATTCTCTTGACAAATGTGATGTTGTAATTCATGGGTGTTATGACAGAGCTAGACAAATTTACATATACATAATTATACATAAAGTTAAATCGAGAACTAAAACTGAACTGATAAAAAGAAAAAAAAGGCCAAGGGATACTTAAAATAAACGGAGATTTTAAAAAAGCAAAATTTGTTTGAAAACACTATTGAATTAAGCTCAGGATCAACAGTTATGCTCAAAAGAAATTGTGTATTTCAAAGAAGTTTTAAGTAAATTATATCCCTATAGAATTAATATTGCATCATGTATATACGAGCTTGATATTTATTTTTTTACAACGAGTGAATACATCGTTAATTGTTTTTCTGTAGATGCTTCGGTTGTGCATTAGTCGAGATTTGTTGAGCATTATGATCTCTTTAGTTTACTCTAGTATAATTTTATGAGTCATGAATCATTATTATCATTAGCATCATGTAAAAGGATTGTAAATTTCGGCCTATAGTTTAGTTAATTAAAGAAGTAGAAGTGGAACTTCGTGATCAGGTCCTGTTTAGTCAAGGCTGGGAAAAGTATATACTCATCGTACAGTTTATTATTGAGTTATAAGTCTTAATTATTTATCTAAGTAATCATAGCAACAAATATATTTTCCCTTATCACTTATGGAAAACCACTGCTTGTGTGTGGATTTGCTTTAGTGAAACTCGCTGACCCCTTCTCAACCTTACTGTGTCGGTGAACGAAAAGTGAAGCTACATTTCCGTCGCAAATATATGCGGTGGTAAATACACTTTCTTAAATATTAGACAGCCTCCAACCTGACATAGTAAAGGCTATTTACGTATCTTCTCAAATGCAGAATAAAGTATTTCTACAATAAAGAGAATGGTTCAATGTTATTTTTATTCATTATGAGGATTTTGGGCAAGAACTTTCTTTGATTGTTTCGTTCAGCTTAACGTTTCTGATAAAAAGGACTGATAAACTCCATATATCGTACGAATCAACATATTCTTTACACATGGTTGATTTGTCAAAGCAGAGGATCATGATCTAAACATTAAAGACTGCATAGAATCTATTAAAGACTACGAACAAGCACTAGCTAGTTGTAAGGAATCATTTTATCATTTAATGTTTCTCTCCCAGAAGTGCATCTTTCTGTGTTACGCAATAATCATACTCGAATCATTTGTTCAACTGCTTTGTTTACTATCTAAATCCAAGTATTAACTAGAAGTGGGTGAATAAATATAATATTTTTGGGTGATTATCAAATACAAATATATTATCTTCGACTACCTGTATCATCATGAATCGATGAAAACCAGTAAGTAAATAGTTATTTTATCTTAGTTCATTATAAGCTACTCTAAACATTTAATATTAGCTCAAAGTCACCTCTACGTATTAAAGTGTGTACGAAAGCAATCTACTAGTGAACAGAATTTTCAGTGTTTTATGGTAAAAGATTTTACCTATTCACTGATTCATATTGCTGTGGTGTGAAATGATTTAGCAATTTATTTTTAGAGGGTAAATTAAATTCACTGTGTAATCACAAGACTTAGTATGATAATTATCATATTTCACACAAAATCGTCACAGAATGAAATTCATATCTTGTTGAAAACCTGTTTATTTAATATCTCACTTCTTAATCAAACAATTCCAAGTGCTTAACAGGGTTTCGAACTAAACCGAAATGAGTTTCAAACCAGCAACACTTTAGTCATTTATGAAACTAAATTTTAAAATGTGCCAGCTAAGTTAGTAGCAATAGTTTTATTCTCTACAACAAAGTGCATTTCATTTTTGATATATAGGATGTGACATTTAAACAGAAACCCATGGTTACGTTTTATTCATAACCAGTCTTCAAACTACCACCGATTGGTTTGACATTGTTCTTCTCATACTCACCCCTTTTCTAAATGTTTCTTTTTGATGTAAAAATGAAAGTTCAATATTTTAACATGTCATAAACGATCATCCAATTTAGGACTAAAAGGTGAGAACCATTTACATTACCACAAACTTACTTCACATGAAGGGGGGGAATCATCTACTGTGCAGGTTTTTTGTTGTTGCTGTTGACGCCGTTCTTGTCGAATATGTTGAATTGCTACTGAGGAAATGTTTGGTGTTGGAGTTGGCGGTGAGCGATGTTCACAGTGAACAGATTCATGGAATCCTGGTGATAGATTTGTATTGATTGGTCCAGGACGTTGTCCAGCACTACAACACTTGTAAAATTAATTGAGATAAACAGTATCGATAAATTTTATGCACAAACAATGTAATTTATTTCATGATTTTCGTACGTTAGCATGGAGCTTAAGAATTTTAATGTAATGAAAACTTTTTACACGTAAAGATATTAGTAAATTATTGTGGTTTATTTGAGGAAGATTGCATTTTTATGCTCATAAACCAACTCATATTTAATGGGGTAATGGAGCTGAATAATTAAGCAATACATATGTTTGGCACATCACTTTCCACAGACTATTATAATCGGTATATGAATCATTCGTTTGTGTTTCTTGATAGCTCACACTTTTACTTGTTAAGGTAAATTGTGAACGAGAAGCATATTGAGGTTAAACCTAAAAGGAATATCCTCTGATTACCAAACGTATTCAGGGTATTTTCAACGAACATTGAATAAAATTTCTCCCAAGTGTTTAAAACTACTTGCATGTTTACTTTTTCTGAAGGACTTTAAAATCCCTGATGTTTTAATTATTAATTACTTGTCTGAATTGTTTCCCGTCAATGCTCATTTTCTTGTATAATTACCACCTGATTTGAACACTCAGTTTACAAAAATGAGTTATGTAGAACCAGCCAAAATTCCTTTTACCAAACAATCAGTAAATAACATTTTCTTTTTAAGTACTATGGTACTAACACTCAAGTAATAGACTACAGAATATGATTTGGACCTATTGTGGGAGATTCTTTTGTCATAGACTGACATCAGCTGGAGAATCATTGAAATTATGATACATTGAGCAGCTATTTCTTCCCAATGTACGCCACTTTAGTTGTGCACATCTATAATTTTACACAGTATTTAACTCGATTCCACCAATTCTCATCATGAACAAGAAACAATTATACCGTTGATTCACAGTTCAACTGTCTATCCTTTCCAATCAGTCAATGGACTATATAGCTTGGCGATGCACTTTTAGCACAGAATCCATTGAACAAATTGCAACGAGTAATGGTTTCCTACACTTGTAACCTACAGAATAAGTAAATGTTTGAAAGAAAATTCGAACAATATTTGTAAAGCAGAAAGGAATACTATTACAATTTATATACATATGTCATGTGAATATTTAGTTACTTTCGTCATAGGATTCTTCGAAGAAAAAAAATCACACTATTTTCGAAAAAAATTTGTGGGTTTTCTTTACTGATTTGCGACAGATTTATTCACAAGAAAACTGAATTTTAGACAAATGAGCTAATATAATCCATCATCTTTTATGAATGATGCGCAATCTAGGGGGAATGAATTTTCGTCATAAACTTCTTTTTTTAATATTATACACCATTAAATGAAGAATTTTCAAGTACTTAAACTATCATTACTACGTTTATCAGTCGAAAATTTTATCACACAACCATGTTGTTTAATTATTAAGAATATTACAGTTTTAGTTCTGTACTATTGTGCATAAAGTTTCCATAAAACAGTAATTTTTTCAGATTTCAGTCACCACGATAAGTGTAACCTCACTGATTAAATAGTTTACATAAGAAAATTAGTACGTTAATATTCGAATCAGTAGAATTAAAAGGGGTCAAAATGTTTGGAAATCTGACACTATAGCATACGCCTTGAATGATTTAACTGCTAAAACATATTACGAATAATTTCGCCGAAACACCATAACCTATTCTTCTTTACCCTATATCCTTTGATTCATTACTAGACGATTTCGTATTGCTAGTTAGATGTTCTACCTAGAAATAAGTTTCTAGAATCACATTAATTGCTGTTTCGGTGATAAATGTTTGTATATCAGCCTGATTAACTTGAAGTCATTGATGAAAATTTTACTACACACTTACTCAACAATTCAGTTAATTTGCAACTGAAGTGAAATTGGAAAAAATTATAAAATTACAAAAATACTCCCCAGTTTATATACAAAAGCTGTTAGAAATAATTTCACTCCACCATTTCATTACTTCACTCACAGTGACGACCACATTTATTCAATCATTACTTTGCATCCATACGTTACAACTGAGTATTGGACGCTGCAATTTGCTTTTTAAGAAAAAACATGGAGAAGTCAATCCAACATCAAAATGCAAATAATAAGTTCTCATTGAATGTTATTCTTTTCAGAAATATGAGTTCACCAAGCTCACTTAAAATAAATACTATTTGTTTTAAAAATTTGGTCGGAAAATCAAGCTTAGTTTATCCTGTATAAAACTATAGGCTTGAAATAATTCAAACAGATCGATAAATCATATGATGCTTAGATAATTACTAAAACGCTTTATTACTTGTAATCTAATAAGGTCGTATGTCAAATCAATCATTCTTTGCAAATACGTTAAACACGTATCAAGAATGTTGTGAGCAATGGCCAATTTAGCTACCAAAATGAGTATGAGTGGTCTTCGAATTGGCGGACGTGTAGCTGCTCGTCATGTGGGTAAGAAAGCTGCTAAAGAGGTTGCAAAGGAAGCAGCAATACAAGCTGCTAAAAAAGGGAAAAAACAAATCTCCAAAAAAGCACTGAAGAGTGCCTCTAAACAAAGTGGAGGAGCTTTGAAAAAAACAGATAAGGAAGAAACAATATCGTCTTCGAAAGATAGTGGTGAGAATTTGATACAAAAGAAACTAAAAATAACGGAGAGACAAAACAAATTTGAGAGCAGTCAACCTAGAACTGAACATCACGAGAACACTTCAATGAAATTATCTAAAGTAAAGCCGAAACAATTTAAGTGTGATGAAAATATTGAATCCCATTATTCTACAAGAAATAATACAACTAGTAAGGACCCATTATCTTTTGTTGCAAAGTCTAAGACGACAAAACCTAAACTCAAGATTCCCACTAATTCAGTATTAAGCGTTAGACCAGGTATACAAAATGAAAATACACAGACGCCTGCACCCATCACAAGACGTTCTGCCTCTCCAGAAAACCATTTCAAAGATCTTTCAACGACATCAGAAGATAGATTTTTAGAACGAAACCAGTTACAACCAAAATTAGACTTGGAAACACCATCATTACATATTCGAAAGGCCGCAAAAAGTTCCCTTGATTTCAGAACAGTTTCTTGTGATAGTGAAACTGAACAACCTATTCTGCCGTCAAGACAACCAGAGCTTATAAAGGTTATAGATAACAACTCTTTGGATCGACAGAATCTTAAACAGTATCTTCATCATGAATTGCTTAAAAGTGAAGCTCTCAAAGAAGTAGGAGATACTGAATTTAATTTAATGCTACTACGTTTGGCAAAATATTTGCTTATGGATGTGGGTGAAACGAACGATATTAAAAAGGATTGTAAAAAGAAAAATGAAACTTCTGAATGGCTGGAAGCTTTAAAAATCATTCTCGATTCAAATGCGCTTTGTAAAAACAGGAGAAGAAATGATAAGAAGAAGAAGAAGAAAAAGCAGGAATACGGTGATAATTTAAAATGTAACTGTTCAAGTTCTTCTACATTTCTTAAAGACCGCAATGAAGATGTTTTGAGTAATGAAGATTGTAGTAAGGCTGATGAGCCAGTAAAAGAAAATGAATATCATGAACTTGTGGATAAAATGAAAAAGTTCAAAAAATATGCTGCAGTTTCTCAAATAGACTCATCATCATCAACCTATGAGTCACAGACGTCGAGTTCGACTAATTTATCAGAGGGATGTAGGAACATTCATCGTTTGAGGTATATAATACGTCTTTTGAATAATTGTCCTCTATCACACTTTGAAGAAAAAGCCATTAAAAAACGAGCTAGACACATGGATTATAGAAGAACAAAATTCTCAAAAAGACCATCAAAATTGAATCGTAGTGACAAAAATGCAGTCATTCAGAACCAACCAAACACTTTCCCTTTAACGACAAACTTGTGGTGTCTAACGACCCCAGCACCATTATACTTAGCTCAAATTCCATCTATATATGAAGAGCTAACAGTTATCTCAAACATGCTAATCGACCCAAATTATTCTTACTTTGATGAAATCTACTGGTGACTATTCCAAACATTGTTTTCTGTATATTTATTTCGTCTGTGTATGTCACAACATAGTATTAACCTTCATAATAAGTGATTAATTTCCCCACTTACTTTGGAGATTTTGTTATTTCTCAGGTGAATATGAGTTACTGTTTTGGTTTACCTTCATCACACTTATGTTTCAGCGTAAATAAAACACATTAAAAGTCTTAATCAGAAAATCGTGTTTATTCAGATCGCTTATAATCCCCATCAAGTAATTCATTAGATTTGTGTAAAATATTGATACATAATAGTCATGACTTAGCCTATTTGGAGGTTGGCGGATGTATTGATCAACCTTTGGAAAATATTCATAACTATCAACTCCTTATTGTAGAAAAACTTTTTGGCCTAAGTTTGGAAATCAATAGTATTATTATCGAAAGGTAATTCATATACGTTTATCGGTGTTTCAAAATATGGGATTTTATTGGCCCAATAGATTGACTCCGAAGATTGGTGGTCCAGTTTTGGCAGTTGGATTGACTGAGTTATTATCTAGAGTCTGTGAACTGGATGTAAACTCATCTGACTGACATCGATCTCTGATCATCTCAGTTTATAAGAAAGGACAGGAGATAACTAATGTAGAATAAGTTTGACTAATTTAATGTATAAAACATTAGTTTAACATTTAACTAGGGGGCGTTCAATGTAAATTCGGAAAACCGGGTTGGTTTGAGACGTAGATGTGGGTTTGTGAGCCATATATTCTCTTTTATTCAGGTTCTGGCCACGTAGACATACCTACCGACTCGGCCGATTGAAATGGTCAAGATACGTAGTACGTATGTTAATCTACAGGCTACCTAGACAGGTGATGTCGTCTGATGTAGGAGTAGGCTGAAGGTCGGAGTTCGAGCAGTTATCGTAATGTATTCCATTATGTTTTAATGCATTTGAAAAGAAAACCTATAACTTTAGTTTCGTTAATTTTGTTGTTCAAGGGAGTTTTAATCATAGTTTTTGTAAATGCATTTAGTATCGGACAGTATCTAACAACTGCATTGTTAAAAATAATTAACAATAGTGAACCGATAAACGCAACAGAGTACCTTTGTGAAATCACTGTGTATTTATGTAATTGTTTAGTTGTATTGTGACCTGTCAAGAGTGTTATTCTGGTCACTGCTTTTTGTTATATAACAATTTAATCATAAAAATGATTGGATTACTAACGTAAATTGATATGAGACTCGTAATTACTACATATGTAATTATTATAGACTCCACACACTTAAAATAGCTAAATAAACTTAGAACTACCTAAGTAGACATGTCTAAGGAGTCTATTAAAAAAATCACTTAGCGTTTACTAAAATTCCATTCAGATTTGACTGAAAAATGTTGGAAATATAGAGAGCTGAGGATAAAGATGTAAGTACACTTAAATCATATTGATCAAAATCTCAGTGATGGGAATGAAATTCCATCCTTTAGTCTAACACAACCTTAGTCAAAGGATTGGTCAGGATAACCAGACGTAAATTTGAACTGTTTTCATTTCTCTCCACCAGACATACGAGGCCAAAGTAAATTAACACGGTCAAGTCAGTCATTGTGTCAATCATCTGCACTCATGAAACTTGATCTGGTGCTCCAGAACAAATACCAACTTTCCATATTCACTGGTGAAAAACATGCATATCACATCAGATTATATCTTGGAACATGATTGTAGTTCACAATAAATGAATTGTACTCATATTTAAAGGGAAATTCTTAACCTGAAACAATTATTTTGGGTTGCTAAATTGGTTTGTTTTTTTATTTATTTGCTATTTTGATGCTTCTCACTATTTCCCTGAATACTGTCAGACCAGGATTGCGGAAAAAGCATTAGAATTACTTTAATTCGGACGATCAAATTTTCATGATTATGAATGATATATATGGTATTTTTTTCTGAAAACCATATAAATCGTACAGATCACACAGTTCTACTTTACATATGGAAGTCAATAGCTAATATTAACCAGAACTGTCATTAATCTTTGAGATCATTGAGTAATAAAATGTTATAATTAGATATTTTCGCCAAATAACTTTTTAAATAAATTTTGTTTACTTCCTTCACCATTTTCTCAGGAAAATCTTATTTTCAGTAAACTTCACAACAGTATGGATGTACAACATTATGTTCATTCTGTCACTAAAGCACTCAATAATTTATCCATCGTTGAATGTTTCACGTTAAATGTATCATAAACTTTTGACTGTTATCGAGCTATTTATTCATTACATCTGTGAATGAAGTCTCATTTACTTTAGACTTGTATAGCAATGACTCCTCTTTTTGCAGATACAGAAAAGTAGGTTAGGCTATTTAGCTACAATTCAATACGTGTCAAAGGAGTAAAATAACTAACTTCATTTCGAGTTGCATTGAGAAAGCAAATTAAAAATTATTATTCTATTCTACTTATATAAGCTAAGGTTTATAATTTTAAGTGTTTGAAGAAGAATGAAATAATTTTCCGCTCACAACTTATTTATAGCGCAAGTTTCAATCAAGCGAAGACGAAAAGAAATTTCTTCGTTCGATTCGTTCTTCTTTATTTACCAAATGTTAAAATGGGAATTTTCACTTTTCTTGACAAATTCATATCAACTAATAAAGTTCTGTACTGTATATTGGATTTATGTGGATCATATAAGCTGAAAATCTCTAAGTTATCATTTAATTTGTGACAAAACTCTTCCGCTTACTAACCCAAGTTCCCATGAGCCGAGCTATGAGATTTATAATTACTAAGTATTCTACAAGCCTGCCACTTGAATAGAAAGTATTCATTCCAAATTTTTACAGAAGTTCAGTAAGTAATTCTACTCAAAATAATACTAGTTGTCCGAATACATAATGAATAATATTTTGTTTCAGTGTTATTAGGACATATGTGACAAAAAGTTTATTTACAGCTAAATGAATTCAATGGAGAGGGATATTCCGGTGAAGCGTAATTATCAAACAGGTCTCTTACATTATTCACTATCACTGTAAACTATCAGATATATACTTTACGATGATTTAACAGTTAAGTGTATAAAGTTTGTTACAGTATATTTTTCAAACCATTAGTTTTAATGATGGAAACATCTAACGTGCACAAAATCTCCAGAAAAACTTTATTAATAAAAGGGCTTTGTTTGTATTTTAATCTAATGACTTACTTGATTCGGATTTCCTGCAGAAACTGATTCAGCTAGAGCTTCTTGTAGGTGAGTGGCTAAAAATGGTAGATGAGCTTTTAAATTATCTATTGGTATCGGTAAATTCCCAATTATCTGTCTGTGTTCTACTTTTGTGCGTCCTTCATCATAGGTTTTTTCAGAGCGTGCAGAAAACGGAGCTAGCTCCAGAAAAGGATCAATGAACGATTCATCTAAATCTAAAGTCCTCATTATTTCAACTGAGTGAGGTCTCTGTCCTGGTGAAAAATAGCTTTCATCTATGATGTCTGACTGAAATAAATGAAATGAATTTAAATTAGAGAAGTTGATTGTAAAATGTATGAAAAACTGTAATTTGGAAAGGAAAGTAAAATAATTCATCAAATTTCACATTGTAGCGTTGACGTTAAACTTGGATAGAATTGCTTACAACTATTTTAACGCTTCAACTCTTTGTTATACGTTTCAAAATGTAAATGAACGCATAGTCTTGAACATTATTATCAAATCAACTTTCAAAAGAAATATTAAGAATATAATCCAAACGTAATCGTTAGAAAGAAATAAGTAAACACTTGAGAACTGTAACACTCATTTGTTACCTAAGTCATGATGATCATTTGATAAGCAGGAATAACTTACTCATTATTGATGTCCCTTCAACTCAGTCCCTAATGCTGAATCCAAATGGCCGGATATATTTTCCAGGAAGGAAAGGTAATATGCTAGTCTAATCAGACAAACGCCGAATGATAAATGAGAGAAGCTGACAGGCGTATGCTATTGGTCAGGATTTAATTTAACTTTCTGAGAAAACAATGTTGGTTAGAAAAATGTTTTTAAGATTCAAATGTCAAATTTCAGGATGAATTGACACAGCTAAATAAAATATTTGATAACAATCAGCACCTATAATTTTATTTTTAACTCAATAGATCATTGGATAGCTTCGTGGTGACTGAGATATTAATTGCTAGTTTTTAATCTTAAAGAGATACACTTACATCTGATTGACGAGTTGTAAATCGGATGATATTTGCATCTTCATTTCTTAGATTAACCACAGATAAATAACACAAATAAATCAATGTGTAAATTAGAAATCTTACATGGATGTGTTACTGAAATAAGTTTAATTCTAATTGGCCTTCAGAAAAAAAATTTCTATTAAAGAATCTTCCTATCACACTATTTTTACATCCAGAGTATTACAAAAATAGTTAAATTTCAAAATTACTTTCATAAACTACTGCTGTGACGGTTTCGTGTATGATCAATCATAGAACGACTATGCCACAATGAGTTTGAAAAGATTCATAATGGTAAAGAAATTTCATATTGTTTTACATTTTCCAAGTAGAAATATCTACTTTTTTAATCCTCTTAATACACTCTCGAACTTAACGTCAGTTATCGACGGTTGTACAATTAAAACTCATTGTTGATAAATTAGATAAATCAGCTAAATGCATCTTTAAGAAAATATTCAATAGATTTTTAACTGCAGTAAGACATTAGTTGACTTAAGAATATAATAGTTAATTGAATAAAATTTGAGGATTAACTTACGTTTTTTTCGTTTTTCCCTCTATACTGATCAGTCATGGTTATTCATCGAGTTAAAATATTTATTATTGTTTGATTCTATTATATTCCTTTTAAAAATATTAAACACCTGGCTATACAATTTACTTATTCTCTTGCTAGAGAAAAAGCCAATTAATGTTTCTGATAATTATTTGTTTAAAGCAACGAATGGTAAACATAATAGAGTTGCTATGCCCGCATTTATCTCTACGATTATTCGAGTGGATCAACGTAAATGATGAACAAATTTAGTAGTATATAGAGACTTAATTATAAACTACAGTCTTTTAAACATCCAGTAAGAATTTCATATTAATAGACATTGACATTGTCCTGAAGAAGAAAATAATTTTGAAAGCCTATAAATCTGATAGTGGAGCTTTATTCGTGATTTATCGTCTTCCTCAATCTAATTAGGTTGATTAAGCAATGTACACTTGTCAGAGCATGAAATATAGTACTCGTAAATTGCTGGACGGTTGCTAATGTGATGTAGCCAGTTGGTCTACGTTAAACAGACATGAGAATATGAATACTAAAACTATCAGAAAACGTCTACAAGCTTATTATTAAGAATCGGAAACGTTTATTCTCTTAATAAAGTAGAAATGTAAATGTTATTGATGTCGGTCAAATGCTTTAAAACGTGTTCAATGAAGATTTATCACTCATGTTTTGAAATAGGTTACAAGATTTCGCCTCAGAAATCATTTCATAACAGAACTATTATAACTGATTGTTGATCTGTTTTATTTAATGAAACGCAATTATGAAAGGTATAGATAACACAATTGTTATTCGTTACTAATTATGTAATTCATATGTTAATTAGCATATGACTAGTTTATATCAAGGCAACTCTAGTTAGATTAATTTGAAAAACGTGATGTTAATTGGAATATAAAATGTACTTTAGATACAAAGTTTTTAATTAACATGATTTATTAAAAAGTACATTTTATTTTTTAGTAAATGAAATAATTCCTGTTACATTGATTTCACAGTACATAATCACATGTTAAAACGGATCAGTTTTAAGATAAAATGTACTTCAGATACAAAGTTATCCTCACTAATCTATTTAATTCTAAGTAAGTTGTACTATAATTATGCATTATAAACTTCATTAATAGTCCTGAAATTCTCCTGATCACGAATCTAAGCAATCACCTACAAGATTTCGTTGTGCCTCCTGTTTTTAGCAAGTCAACAGTTTATACTTGAAAACTAAATGAAATCTTAGAGCCAGCGAGAGATTCACCGTATCTCTGTCACTTACTATCATGTATGATTTCTATATTCAAGAAAATCATTGTTTCTTTTATTTTCTAACGAGTGGCTCCTTCATTTTGAAATTTTTACTGATCTAAGGGTAAGAGTCAATCAACCAATTCGAAAGCGTTCTTTGGATTAAGCGAAAGTGTCTTTTTATTCAGTAATCAGCTACATATTGGTGAAATAGTAGCTGATCACAAATAGCACCATATAATTGTATACTTAAATAATTTAGAAATATATTTTATTGTCTTCGTTACAGTCCTGTTACTCATCGATGAACTGGAATAAGACTACATAATGTTTTTTCCTTATCACGGAACTCGAGTCAAAAACGGATGGATTTCTGAGTTGTTGGCAATCGATCAATTCAAGCTCGAACTCGGAACGCAAATATAACACGTCCAACCTCTTATACCCAACAATATACAGAAGAGAGCTTGTCTCGATCAACGTTAAAGCCTTGACACGATAGGCCAACTGGTTCAGCTTTGAGGCTAGAAATGCGCGAGTTCGAATTGAGACTGACGACCTTGAGCACAGAGACGAAAGTTATTCTGTCCTCTGATTGGTTGACTAGCGAGAGAGGGAGGAGACGAGTCAGCTGGAACACTACTCGATTTATCCCTGATTTTGAGTAGTATAAAATGACACAAAAATTGGATGACTAACACGACCACAGACATTTAAAAAATAAAGTATGTCCAAACTAACCGTTAAAGTAGAAAAATGGAGTACAAAAGGTTACGCTTAAATTACAATAGCTTTGAATCAGAAACGGTATGGCCGTGAATCATACATCAAACGAAAGCTTATGATTTATAAAATAACCTTGGGACAAATCTAAATGTTGCTATTTTATAGACTTTGGATTAAGTGAAATAATATCTCCAAAAATAGCTTCTGTTGTTCGTCATGACCTCTCTATTTCTCTATTCACATCTTCCTCGTTGAGAAAGAAAGTTATAACTGCCATTTGTAAGGGAAAGTGACTAGCGTTTTGATCCTTACAAAACTTGTCCAAACTGGCTGACTGGAATAAATACAAAAAGAACGATTAGTTGAAAATAATATTTACGATAACATCATTCATATCTCCCCCAGGAAACTTTGTATGTTTTCCTTTTCGGGTCAACCAGGAGAAAGTCTGGTCTTTTGCGTTTCCGTAATGATCTTCCCATGTGCTTCTGTCCTGGTTCTTCGTGCTTCTGGGTCGTTGGACTTCCCACATCGGAAATGCTTAGGAAACTTCTCCACATTGAGCCCAGTTTCTCAATTTCCTGTAAAGTGACAGTATATTCCAGTATACAGCTGTCATGACGTATCCATTTCTGACCTTCGGCTTTTACCACATACATTACCTTCCCTCGTCTCTCAAGTATTAGTTCACAGGTCCACTGAGGAGGTGAGTATCGGAAATCGCGGACGTATACTTCCCCGTTCTTTTGAAATATTCGACGTTTTAGTCTATAATGGAAATTGGATTGAGTCTCTATGTTTTGGTTTCTTCTTCCAACACCTTGTTACTTTGGTTTAACAGCATTGAGGACAGTTTTAATTTTCCTTCCAAACATGATTTCTGATAGAGACATTTGATTTGCTGTTGATGGATTTAGAGTGTTTTTGTCGGCCAATAGAAGACCACCAAGAATTTCCTATATTTCCCCTCCCCATTCGCCTTCAGTAGTGCTCTTTTGAAAGTGTCCACAAACCTTTTGGCCTGAACATTCAATTGTGAAAGGTATGGAGTTGAACGGAAATATCTAACTCCAAACTTGCTACAAAACAGTGGGAAAACTGAGGAAGTAAACTGCGTGCCATTTCCCGATACGAAAACATCTGTGACTCCAGAACAGTAAAATTACACTGATTTTCGTCCAATTACTGGCTGACCTTGGTTCTTTACTTTTCACCCCGTAGCCCATTATTATAACTTGTGGGGTTGTGCCTTATTAATGTACCGTCAATTAGAGAACAGTGAATTATCGCCCTCACCAATGACGCGTAAAACAAGTACGAGTAGCTTAGAGTCTTTATCGGTCCTTCCTCCTGTCTATCCCTGCCTGTTAAGTCCAGAACACCAATCTCAGCCTCTGAGATAAGAATCATGTATTTCAAAAATACTGGGTTTATATACCAACCAAACAAACCACACCGTACCATAAAATAGGAAACAACATTTGTACAAGGTTTAGCTAAATGTGGCTGTGAATGTAAGAGACTGTAATTAATAGACAGGGCAGAACTCAAGAATGGTCAAAATAAAGCTTATAATAAGAGGAACATGAATACGTGTAGCTTAGCTACTTAACAATTATACAGTAAAAATATATTTATCCTATTGATCCATAAATAGTTCTCAAAAGGTACCATTCATTATTCTCATCGAAATATAACACAATTGTAGTAAATTCACGATAGTGGTCTGAGAAGTGACATGGTTCATGAGAAAAATCTTGGGCCATTTTTAATAAGCGTCGATGCAAATGGAAAATCGGTACCTTGGAATAAGCCAGCAAAATCAATATGTAAGCGCTGCCAAGGTTCTTTTGGGGATGACCGAGAATGAAGTTTCTCTTTACATGGGCATTTAGGAACTGCAACAATTTTTGCATGTACGCACTTAATCTTCGATGTGCTCGTCGATGTAAGGCCAACACACATAGCTCCAAGCAGTAGCCTTCGTTCTTCTAATGCATTTATAAGCTGTGTATAATTGTTATAAGACGACTGAGCGTAAGTTATTTGGAACTACCACATAATCGGCAAACATAATACAGTCATTAATAATGGTTAGTGATAATGCTGCTTTACTTCATGGAATGTTGCACGGGGGGGCAACCAAGTCGGATAAACGAAGCTAGTTATTCTAAGATAGAGTCACTGAGAGTGTGATAAACAACTCGAATAACTACCAAAGGAAGAATCTGAGTTGCATTTACTAAAATTCTGTTTACATCTTTTTCAACCAATAAAGAAGCAATGACGGTATCTCCGTTTTCAAGTTCGTGATTACTCATTAAGCGCGATAGTGCATCAGCATGACCACAGTCACAGGTAGATTTATACTTGATAATGTAGTCATAAAGCAATAGCATTATAGTCCATCTTTAAAGGCGATTTGCAGTATAAACTAGAATGCCTTTCATAAACCCAAAAATTGACAATAAGGGTTTATAATCAGTGAATAAGCTAAATTTCCCACCATGCAGTACTTTGTGAAAGATTTTAACTGCAAAAATTGATTAATAATTAAAATAACCCATAGTGTCATTGAATAAGGAAAAGGAGAAGGAGAAAAAGAGAAATGACATTATGGGTTAATTTAATTATCTGAAGAGCTGCAAGGATCCTGTGACAGTCAAGAAACTCAGTGGGTTTCTTAGTTATTCTGTCAAGCTTGCCATAGCGAATACCAGAATCAGTTTTCTGAGAAGCTGTATTGACAAACACGAATATCCGAGACCATTTTTCAAATCATTTCACCGTAACCATATTCATCCAAATCATCGCTCCTTGAAACATCTTACTCTCAATTATGTCGATGAAATTAAGTCGAGAATACCAGAATCGGACCGAAATATCTCATTACGTTCACACACATTATTTGATTTGTCAGAAGATCAACTTTTCAATTTCAAAGATTACATTGATATTGTTAGCAAAAATCGTACTGAAGATGTGATCTTGAAATTAATGAAAAGTTTAAAACAGACCGAGATGCAAGCTTCTTTTCCCGAATC